ACCTACCTACCTACCTACCTACCCCAGGACCAACCTCGGCCATGCAATTGCTTATGTGTGTTCCTGTGTTGTTTCGGATGGAAACTGTCAGTTATTGCTGTCTACAGTGTATAAACGCCATACCACAATACTAATCAATAGGTTCCAGTTTTGTAGCTATATTTCTTGTCCTTTCCCCTGCCCTCATGCCACGGCACGTACGTGTGGCATACTTACCGGCATATACCCTGCGATCTTCAACTCGAGGAGCAATTACGCTGCATGTGTTATGCGTCTGTTAGAGTGAATATGCACGGTTTCAGTCTGCCGAATTAACAAAAGAGAACATGTTCATAAACATCTAACGCAAGGTTTGTGCTGGAATAGCTAGTTGTTGCAGCAAAACAAACGAGATTAAGGGCCATGCAGGAGTTCAGTCCTAATTCATTCTAAGATAGTACCTAGCGCTTACTTCGTTCCGAGGGTTGGCGAGTGACCAGATCCAAAAATGGTATATCCATAAGTAGCTACAATAATGATTGTCCGAATATGGCTTGCAGACTATTGAAAGAGTTTTGCCAAACATCAAAGAAATAGTGTAAATGAAGTGTTGAACTACACACTGGATAATAACCACACATAGTGCTTCAATATTTCGGCATCTTCTTGTGGGCTTAGAATGAATATGACTGAACTACCGTTTATTATCATGTAGACCTGAAGGTTTTTGTAAGCAGATGAAGTTTGTGTTGGCATCACATGTTGGAGGAGTATAATTTCGAAGAGCTTGTCGCGGAATGGGAACACAGCTACATGTCAACACTGAACATCAACCTGTGAATGAATATGTATATACACAAAGCTTAGCTATGAAGTAGTCTGTAGTCGTGAAACACATAAACGTATGTTAAGCGGATGCGCCAAGCACATGCCAGTCCAAGAGTAGGATTTCAGCTGATGACAAACTTTTACAAAAAGAACACTTTAGTCAAACACCAGAGGAGTAATCGCAAAATTACAGGTTAGATGCCCAACACATATCACTGACAGGTATTATGTACAGGGTACTGAAACTTACTTGGCTCTGAGTGGGCTATCAAGGTTACACTACGTGATGATTAAGATTCGGTGGATTCGGTTAACACTCTTACTATATATGACCGAATATTGACTGAACACCCATTACAGATGAGGTGCGCTGGCATTTACTTGTGTGCAAATGCCTATGAACAATATAATATGCGAATGCCAAGGGGATTTTAGACTAATGCTTAGGTTGAACCCATGGGCCCCTAACATGGGCCCTTAGGGGATTCTAGGGTCCCTGAAGGGTATATATAAGGTACATAGTAGGTATATTAGGGTTCCAGGGTTAAGGGCCCATACCAGGGGCCCATGGGTTCTACCTTAGATTAATGCACATAAGATTTTGGACACGCCG